CAACTGATAGACCAACTTATTTGTTCACTATTTGTAGGTAACAGAAATTTACTGATAACATGAATTTAACACTTAATTATGCCATACTTTAATACCCCCGATTTGCATCGTTGCATCTTTATTAAAGAAATACTATATTAACATTCTCAGCAACCGCAAAATGCACAATTTAATACATTTAGACTCAGATTCGAACAAAAAGGCTAATCAAATTAACAATCATAAAACTTAATAAATTAGGTAATTTTAAGTCAATATATTTAAGTAAAATATATTTAAATAAATACCAAATATTAATCGTTTTTTGTTTTTTTTTTTGCAATAGGTGGAAAGCATCTGAAACAACAGCGTAAGACTTGAACCCACTAAAACTACCTCTTAGAAATGAATGAAGAAGGTTTCCACAGAAATGTGGAAACTTAATTCTAGTAATCAGGAGAGAGAGATGAGAACAGATAGGCTTAATACCTAATAGATTAGGTTGGTTTAAGCCAGAAATATTAATCGATAAAGAAGGTTTCATTTAAACCCATTTTAACATAGAATTCTCTATAAAGCCATGATTTTCAATAAATATTTAAAAAGTGTGCCCCAAACTTATAGTACCTAACCTATATAATACCTATAGTAACCTATAGTTTATGGATTTAAAATACCAATTTTTATTAATTAAATATCTTAAATGTTGCATTGATTATGATCGTTCCAAGGCACAAGCTCTGGTTTGTGATAAAAAGCTTTACTGTTATGTGGCATTTAGATCTATACCATAAATGACTACTCGACCACAAGCTGACCTTTATTATACTAGGTGGCAACTTAATAACAGCCCCAGATAAATATTTGTTATACTTTCTTTAATAGAGAAACATTTAAATACTAGTATTTCCATTTTAAATTTATGCTTCTGAAATTCATCTTTGTCTTTTAATCCCAATAGAATAAATCAGTTTTTAATTTCTTTTTCACCGAAGAAGCTCCTCATAAGTTATTTCCTAAGACGGGGCTGTCAAGACCAGATGTGATCGCTGGCCAATATAAATCACTGTAGAGATTGGAGGGCCAAAAAAACAAATACGGCCCCCTCGGGCCGTGCTTTGGACAGCTCTGTCCTACGCAATAAGTTGAGAAGAAAAGTCCAATTTTTCCAATTAAAATATTATTTGTATGACATATTCAATGACTGTGTTCAACATTTTCTTCTTCATTAATAAAAGTGATTATATGAAACACTTTTGCAACATTTTGAAGCACCAAAACAAACTGTTATAGAGTCCATTAATGCTGCGTTTACTTCTGCTTTTTTGAATATATTGAAAGTAAAGTAGAAGGAATATAAAGTACTAATAAAAGTATTATTATTTTAATGTACATATGTCAGTTAAAGTCTATTAAGTCATTGGTATCTTCTTCTACTGATTTATATGTTGTTCAAAGGTTAAACTATAATATTTGTATTAGTAATAAAAGATTAGCTAATACATTCAAATGAAAACAATAGCTAAGTTAAAATTGAATCTTGTCTACCGAAGACCTTAATAATTAATAAGATTAGTAAAATATTTGATCCAAATATAAGATATACTGAAGTGCTAGTTATATCGTTTATGTAGGTAGAAAAAGCATGTTTGTTAGTATTTATTAACCATGTTTTCTGTTTCAATGGCCTATCTAGTGCAGGGAGTTGAGGAGAGATTATTGGATAGATTTATTCAGAAAAATAAAATCTAAAGATAATATACTACAGAAAGACTTTCAAAATATATGATTTCTACAATATCCTCCCCTTAGGAAAATTATAGCTAAAAATTATTTACTGTACTGTTCGCTGTACTATTTTCTTAATATAAATTAAAAACAGTACACTAATGATTTGTACTTTTTCCTTAACTACATATGTCACAGCAAGTGGATTTGTTAATGAACATTAATACTAACTGCACAATAATATAATATCAAACAAAAAAATCAAGTTTATTAATATATGTGACTCTGAGCTTCACATTTAATCATTTCTTACTTCCAGTCTAAAAAATTCTTTACGAATAAATCAAATTATATTCTATTCTTTGTTGTGTAATTAGACATTCGGCATGGCTATTCTGATTATGGGCCGAAAATGTCGTGGTCTTTGTTCTTTCGTAAAAAGCATTTTCCGATACTTTCCGTGAATCGGTCTAGCTAATGCGCACAGGTTTCTAAATCGACTTAAATTTGATGCAAACATTTTTCTCTTGAATACTGCAAGCCTGCTTGCCTCAGTTTCCGTCATCCGCTCAGAGTAGGATGCTCTATCAAATCCGTATTGAAGCGCCTTAGTGCAGCTTCTACTGGATCCTCCTTTTCGCCCAAAACGTTCACCACCTCCATCCAAATTCGGCAAGCCATCATCACCATGCAGCTAAGTATTATTGTTTTCTCTAAAGAGCAATCTACCTCGTGTGGATACAGCAAGTTGCTGCACTCTGGATAAAAATAATGTTTTTTTTTATTATTTCATCTGTGCCGATATGTTGTAACTATTTGTCTTCCAATACTTCCGTTTACTCATATCAAAATTCAAATTCATGAGAATTACTACAACAGGGTGGAGCCATAAATCGATATGGCACAAATCGTTATTTGTGCTAGGAAATTAAGAATGTGATACGTGGCAGAATTACTGTTGGGATACGCGTTTGGATCGTGTTTCCATTGCCCTATAAGTATTCAGTACGTGATTATAGCCGACTGCACGAAGGAGCTGTTTTTTATCACTAAGGCCTGGTTGAAATCGTTGTGGGTTGCGATTGTGATCTATAGGACGATACTGTCTCGAAATGGAGGGATTCGCAGTGTCGATGTGTTCTTAAAACAGATGGATAATTCTGAATTTGTTTAAATATTTATTTAAAATAGAACAGAAGTTAATACTTTTTAATAGTAAACCGTATATACAAAAATTAAATAAAACTATGAAAATGTAATTACTAATTCTTTGTATTTATTGACAGTTTGTTCATGTTTTTAATCACAAATTTAAAAATAGAATATATACTTTTTAATAAAAATAAAATTAATTATTTATTTCTACATAGCATGTTGCATACAATTAAATTACATACACTGTTATTAAGAATAATATATATGTAAATATATATAATAAAAGAAATGTTTCAGTTACACACACATTTAAATTTAAATACATCAATTTTTTTATTTCTCTATACTTAAATTGTATACTATATTTTAAATAAAGCAAATTTTAAATTTACTTAAATGATATGAACTCAACATGTGTTTCACGATTATTTTATATATAAAAATTTGTGTTTTGCTCTCTTGGAATAATTTTAAATAAATAACTTTAATAATATGATTACAGTAATTAATTTTATTTATATGTAAGTGACATATTAACTGAATAAAGTTCAATGTATATTTGTTCCTGAAAAAATAACTTTTGGAAATATTTGTAAATGCAATTGGAATTATAAAAATATTTGATTTTGAAATTAAAAAAAAAAAAAAAATAACGCTATTGCAACTTTTCCATTTTTTTTGCAATTCCATAATTTCACTTCTTAAATAGTTACAATTTATATTTTTTTATATTTATATAAAAATATATATTTATATTTTATATTTTATTTATATAAAATAATATATTTATATTATATTTATAATATAACATATTATAAACAATTATATTTTATATGTTATATATAAAATATAAATATTAATAAATATTAATTATATAAATAAATTAAACAATTATATTTTTAATATAACAATACAAAATAAATACTATACTATAACTATTTACATAGGTCTTTGTAAATAACTGCAGCTCATATATTTATTACTTTTTTTTAACCTTTTATATAAAAACCAGGAAATAGTGGAAGACAAAACATTAACTTGCACATTTTTCATTAAGTAAAATACATTAATTATTCATTAGGGGTATTCACTATTACGAGTAACGAGCTTGATAACTGAGTAACGTAGTAACTCTACAGTGCGGCAACAGTTAAACAAAATTCGAAATGTTAGTGTAGTATTTTTTATTAGTAATTTTACTACATTATTAATGTTGCCACCTTTCTAAAGATTTGTAAAAATGAATTTGTTCTAAACTTATGGTTTTGATAGCATCCTACGTTTGGTTATATTTACAGTAGTCAGATAACCGTAGCACGTTATGTTTACTAATACGTTTATATTAAAATTAAAATGTTTATTGAACAATTTTAATTATTTAAAATTGTGTTAGATAAAGAATGTAATTATAATAATTAATAAAAAAAAACATTAATGATTAATAAAAAAAATGATAAAAATCAAGATTGTTTTATAAATAATTGATAACATAATAATAATAAAATAAATTTATATAAATAATAATTTAAAATAAATTTATATAAACAATAATTTAAAATAAATTTATATAAATAATAATTTGAAATAAATTTATATAAATAATAATTAAAAATAAATTAATTAAGTTTTAATGAATAAAATTACATAAAAATGTTATTTTTAGAGTTTTTAGTTTAGAGTAATTGATTGCATTTGTACTACTCACTAAAATCGCTACTAATAATAGTGAATACCCCTAATTGAAATTTTTGATCGTATTGTGTTAGATTTGTATTCAGATAATTAAAATAATAAATTAATTTAACTTAAAAGTCTTAATAATATTTAGTTTAATAATTTAAAATGTCAATTTATAAATTCATTATTATTTTTATTAATATATGTTACATTCCTTGTACTGAATTATGTACTTATGTACGGTGTTAATAGTAAATATGTGTAAAAAAATAGCTGCAAATCCATTTACACATTAAAAATTTTTCTTTCACATAATGTTGCAACAAGTCATAGTCATTAATTAATCACCAATACTTTTTGTCAACTTCGCAATTTATTTCATTCATATATATATAGCGTTTTTATAAACAGTATCATATGTTAATTATTATGAAAATATATATATATATTTTTTTTTTTTTAATAAGCACATAATACATAACTAATACAAATATAAAACATAATTACTTCTTCTCTGAAATTGGAATCGAAATGAATATGTTAATCAATGAATTTTCATCGAAAGGTACTTGGGCATTTGTCTAAATTTATATTGCTTATTAACAGATAAAGCTAATTTAAAGTGTAGTTGAAGTAACCAAGTTGACACCGTGTACTAGAATAGTCGGCGGGAGATCTGCAGTCAATTCGGTTAACAAGTCAATATAACGTACAGCGCGTTCATTAAAACCGGGCGAGTTGATTTTTGGAGGAGCAGCTAAATAAATAAAAGATGCAGCAGTCTGGTCCGATCGTTCGCGTATAATTTGATTAACTCTTTAAAAGTAAACACAATATTTAAGTTGAAATTTGTTAAAAATTAATTTAGAGTGTCTAAAATAAATTACCTTTTCATATATGAAACAGAATTATCATAGCTCTCTTCAGATATTGTATCTATAACTGCATCAGCATCATTTGTAAATTGTTTCAATATCCGAGCATGTTGAGTAAATGACTCATTCCGATTCCATTCTTGTATCTAAAATACATATATTTATATTAAATTATATCAAAATACATCTCCTTGATCTATATTGCATGTGCAAAAATTGTATAATAATTATTATATATAAATATCTAATTTGTGGGATATCTAACGGGATATCTAACGGGCTACGTTACCATCTCAACAAAATGGGCCTATCCGAAGAGATAGATTGTAGACTTTGCTTGCAGGCAGAGGAGACAACCAGCCACATTCTATGTGACTGCCCAGCTTTGATCTGGGCCAGGAGGAGATCACTGGGTCGGGAATTGCTCTCACCTTCCGACATTAGCAGGTCCACAACAACCGACATTTTGGCCTTCATTCGAAAGGGGGAATGTCTTTTGTTCAGTTAGGGTCTGTTGTAGCACAAAAGATCAATCATGGTCGCGATGCTCTGCTCAAATGGGAGCTAGTACCCTGTTCTTTCTTATTCTTATTATCTAATTTGCATTGTCTTTGTGACATAAGCAAATATAAAAATTACATCAATATCATATATACCGTTCAGATTATATGACATTATATTACAAAAAAAAAAGATTAGACTAACGACACTTACTTCAATAATATCAGCATCAATACGTAACTCTTTTAGCGATTGCTGCAGTTTCATTCTGCTTAAAACTTCCATTTGCGGCGCATAGGTATCAAAGGACCTTAAAAATTGCAAACAAATTATTAATAAAATTAATTAGAAAAAGTTTTTAAGTGATACTCACGTAATATTTGAAGCACTGTTTCCAGTTTCGCAAAGGAAGACGCGCAAACGTAAATGTTTCCATTTAGCTAACATATTTATTATAACTGCCAACTGCATCATGAACAACGAAACAACATCAAAAGGATTTTCAGCTAAGGGATCAAAAACATTTATTGGCCATACGTCAATATATTTCATATGTTTGCTTCTGCAAAGTTTAAAATGAAAAAAAAATTTGTTTAATAATTTATTACATATGTTCACATACATTATTTATAGGTATATATAATAAAGAGTTTAGAATAAATTAAGAAAAGCTTCACAATCAACGCAGAGTGTTCAACTATTTAGACAACAGGTGCCAAGAACAATCGGGCCAACGTCCCAGAGCCACTCGCCAAGTTCGACTACCAAGTGCCGTTTACACGAACAGATCCGTTTACAGATATTATATAAATACTTCGAAATATATAATTAGATAAACAAGAGCACGATCAACTTTTTCAATGTTTTTGATATTGACAATTTTATTCAATAGAACAAATCTTCGCAAAATAAATGAGAAGATTCTTAATTCCCTTTTGACACTTTGTTGTGTAAGGAGTAAAAGAACCGAGCGATAGTAACAAAAAAGATGAAGGAAAAGGAATTATATTTTAACATTATACATACATAGGCATAATGTTTTTATTAATATGGATTTTTGATTAAAATCAGACAATATGCTATATCTTTGTATTGGTTTTGTACTTTTCATCTTCATTATATATAATATAATGAGAATGCAGATGTGGATAGAAAGTAGGTACGGATTTGAATAAAAACATCTAGTTCCTTGAGGATTTTACAGATGCAGATGAAGGCATCCCTTACAAACCTACTATAAAGTAAAATGATAGCAGAGCAGAACAAAACAAATTATGATAGATATGTGTGCTATGGGTATTGATCCGGCAACAGCTAATATTGCTCTATTGCTACTATTGAACATCTATATAATAAGTTGTCTTTAATATATAATAGGTTTACATAAAGCAGGTTATTAGGATCTATTTATAATAAATAAGTCGAGAATAATAAATAATAAATTCATTTGAAGCTAAATACAACTGTAATCAAATCATCACCAAAACGTAGTGCTTTCACCTGCCACCGAAGTTTAAAAATTTATGAAATCTCATAATCGTTTAGCACCGCTGCACATAAGCGGCAATAAACGTTTGTTGTCGTCATTTCGCCATTTCGCCGCTTTAACGATTGTACAATCGGATTGTACATGTGTTTTTAACGGTTCAGGGGCAGAGTGGCGGCATCAAGCGTTTTTTGCCGCACGTGTGCACCGGACCGTATCAAAATTAATTTTAAAAAGAAATATAAAATAAATAATAGATTTTTTCATGTAAACATCGTCACCTATTAAAAACAATTAGTATAATACCGTGCCATCGTGCAAGCTGTCATAGAACTTTTTTATAAAAGATGGGAAGACTTAACGATATGCAGGCATCTGTATGCAATTGGGCCACGCTCCAACAAATAAAATCCAACTCTCTATCTAGAAGAATAAATCTCCCTTTCAATCATACCTGCCGCAGTTGTGATGAGAACGATGAATGTGCCTTCCATCTGCTTTGTTTATGTTCCGCACATGCGCGGTGCTGCCTTACCACTTTATGGGTTTTCTTTTTGAGGATTTTGGCGAACTTCAAGGCTTCCCTTTAAATAGCATTATAAGCATTGCCAAAAATACTAAGTGGTTCTAACCAATGGGCCTGTAGACTTAAGTGGATTTCTTGGGATCGATGGTATAACCTAACCTAGCCTAAATCGTCCCATACATCTAAATTGTAATCAATTATTACGAAGTAATTAATATTAATTTTTCTAGAAAACTCGTTAAAGGTAATAAGTGTTTAACGTAATAGATTAGAAATACATGCAATGTCAATATGGCTTTTGTAAAACAGTCTAAGATGTAAGATCAAATGTATATATTTAATATGGAAATAATTTAGAGTATATTCACTTACTTTGCAATAAAATTTTTGTCCAAGCGATGAAAATGTCGACATAAGCATAAATTCTTTTTCATACGCAAAACGTCGCATATTATGGCCACATATTCTTCGATATTAATGTGCTTTTCTTCCCCTTCAACTCTCATTGGGAAATTGTTTATCTCACCATTATTGAAATCATCAGTTTTGTATTGCGAAGAAGCACTAAATGAAAATATGAATATTAATTTTATTTAAATGAAATTTATTTAAATTCAACTAACTGTGATACTCATAGAGATAACTACCTTTGGAAGAAATCTTTTGGAGTTTCATTATCATAAAAGCCTAAAATGATTGTATTAGGTTTCATAGCACCGATCCCAGATAAACGTATTAAATGTTGCACGCCTTCGCGTATGCTTGTCGCTAAAGTGACTTCTGCAAAAGCTTTTACTTTCATATGATCTAAGAATGATAACCACTGTGCATTTTCTTCAACTGCGGGATCAGATACATCTGTATAATTTCCAAGTTTTACATGTCCAATAACATAAAGTCCGCCTTTTTTCATATCATTAACAAAATCAACTAAGGGACAACATGAACGTGGCGAAGAAACAAGCAATAACATCTGAGGCCTCCAAAATTTAACATGATCTTTCCGTGGATCCAACATTAATAAATATTTTCGAACCTATATGAAAATATAAAATAATACATGCAATAATGTAATATAATATTACTTCACATCTATATTACCTGATGGAACATTAATGCTTGAGAAATAGAACCCCATTGCGCTGCCTGTGTTGCCGGTGAAAATAGATGCAGGGCAATAACCATAATTAAACACAATATTATGCTAGAAGAAGCATATATAGGATTAATGACAAACATCATCACCAATGTACCAATCAAGCCTATTAGGCAAGTATGCCAAGTAAAGTACTTGAAAGAGGGTCTGAAGTTCGGTGCACCTGTTAGTTCTATACCTAAACACGCCAAATTCGTCGCTAAATACGAAAGCATAAATAACACCGAGTTCACTTGAGCAATTATGTTGAATGAACCGATAAGCAATATACATTCAACTAGAACCCAACTTGTTAGCACTGCTGCTATTGGATTTCCTCTCCAAGTACCTTTTTGCACAAAATTCAGTAATGAACCAAAAACTTGATCCTTCGATAATGCTTCAAAAATACGACTCGAGCCAATTAAATTGCTCAGTCCTGTAGAAAAGGTTGCAGTTAGAATACCAATAGCAGTAAACGGAGGCCAAAAATTAACTGGCATTAAAAACAGATAATTGTTTTGCATTGTAATGTAAGGTGTAGTTAAGGACATTAATAGCGACAGTATTATATACGATACGAATGTAAAGCCGACTGCTGAAAGTGTGCCTATTGGTATACTTTTCGATGGGCTTTTCAATTCGCCAGACATATTAGCACCAGCCATTATGCCAGTCACGCCAGCAAAAAGAACACCGAAAGTGGTGGCGAAATCTACGATTTTTCCGTCGGATGTATAATCTGGTCCATAATGAGAATACAAGTTTTCCTTTAATGTTGTTCCATTAAGACCGGTATAAGTTAAAGTAATGTTACTATTTAATTTGTTCTCTTCAGGCACGGGAATCTAAAATCGAAACAAGTATTTTATTATAATAATCCAAGACTTAAAATAATTATAATACATAAATAATTTAGTTTAATTTAGCGAAGCATAGCATTTTTACATGTAGAATTTTTTATAAATAAAACTAATTCTAAATATTGTTTATATATTTTCGACGCCTGGATTATATATAATCTAGGAAGATTAATAAATTTTTGGAGTTCTTCTGTATTGTGGGATTTGTACATAATTGTATATAATCTTTTAACATATTATATATAAATAAAGTTTTAAGTTTAAGCTCGAATTTACATATATATAAATAATCCGAAGATTAAACGGTTGTCAAGTATATAGAAACTTTTTCGTTTGTCTATGTTGCTGGCTGGCTGGAAAATCACGTTCTTTCTAGTGAAGAAACAAAATTTAAATGTATAAACTATTAATTTAATTAATATAATTTAATAGTGACAATTATTAGTAATGAAAATTACCAACTTTTATAGTTGTCTAATAAAAAATGATAACAACATTTTTGTCTTTTTCGCTCATACCTTCTAGGGTTAGAGCTATATATTTCATGAACCTGATTTGGCAAACAGAACTATCACCCCATTTACTTTGAGGTTTGCCATTTTACCATTTTGCCATCGTTTAACAAACGCTTAAAATGATACAGTTGTGAAAATTTATTACAAAAATTTCGACGATTTTTTGCATCGAATTTTCTTCAGCGATGAAACTGATTTATCGCTTGGTGGATATTTCGATAAACAAAATATCGCAAATGGGAAAATGAAAATTCACAAGTAAATATCGTCATAACATTACATTCACGAAGAGTCACAGAGTCACAATACAACTCTTTAAAGAGTTATCAAGTTACAGGCGAGCTACTATCAGTTATATGCCGACAACTCATAAATAACCTCATAAGCATCCAGTACTGTAAATGCTGTAACTGTGTTTACTTCCGGAGATGAAAGTCCTTACATTTTCTCTAAAACTCAAAATTTTGGATTCTAACAATTTAGCATTTAATAATCGATAGTGTGTGTTAATTTTATACAACTTGATAAGGTTAACCAATTTCAACCATATTCTAACCGGTTGGATTCTGAAATAATTTGTGCACAAAAATTTCATGCGAGTGGCTCTGATAATTACTGTATAAATTGCTAGTTAATAAGAAAATTGCTTGTTAGAGATTTGAAAATAACATTTAGCTAATAAATTAGTTTGATGTTAATTATATTTTGTTTTAAATATTATAAATTCATTCAAATATTACTCCAAAGTGATTCACTCTTAACTTCATGTATTCTCCAGAAGTTCTCTTAAAAATACTCTGGTACAGTCTCTGGGTCTACGTCCCGGAGACACTTGTCGCTATCGACGACCAAGTGCCATTCGACACCAACAGGTCCCAGCGGGATACCTTAACAAGAATAGTATAGTTAGATCAATGTATCTCCACATAGTAATTAAAAATATTTCTAATTTATATGCGGGAGCATCTTCACTGCCTTATACATCTATTTTCCAATTCTGTTTTACAATTTACTGTTTCACAGTTATTTAGGTCTATATACAGAAATCCATGGAAAGAATTTTGAAAAAAAAAATGATAATTTCAATTATATAATTATTTAATTTATAAATTGCAATAAAAAACCTAAGCTTTATTTATAAACAAATAAAATTAAAAGATATTAGTGGTAATGTTTCATGCAGGCTTATTCAGTTAACCGGTTTGCCACACCTGGTTATTAGTTTATTATTCTTATTCATCATTTTAACTATGAAAAATATTGTACTGCTTCGCTAAATTAATGAGCCAAACGACTTAACTGTTGATTGATTGGTTATTTACTAGGTAAACAGAAACCAAAGAGTTTGATATCTGACCTTAACTTCGATAAAATTATGAATCAACTTAAAATTCATATAAATATGCTTATATTCATATACAGGTAAGCTAGCAGAATTTAAAGATAACTTACATGCGATTTTGGGCCGACAAATAGGAAACTAATGTATGTTGCCAAAAGACATACGGTAACTATGCCAAGGATAAGTACCGAAGTTTTTGCAAATAATGCCGCTCCGACGAGACAAACCAATAGCATAGCCGTATTTATTAATGTACAAAAAAGAAATCGCCACCATGTACCATCTGGCAGAGAGTTTCCATCTTTTGTGATATAGCCACCAGGTCCAAAATTTTCCATAATACCTTCAGTACAACCGGATATGGCCATAGCACAACCTACAACATTCGCTAAGAAAAAAAGTGTCCCAATTGAACCACCAAATTCTACACCAAGCGTACGACTGATCATAACTGAAATAAATTAGTATTATTAAATAATATTATTAAAAAAATCAGAAAAAGTAACTTTAATGTTTTAAATTTTATAGAAATAGCAGTGTCAGTGTTTCTAGTAAATTAAAATATCTTAACCAATTTTAATTTGTATATCAATACTGCACAGCAGGATGCACTTTTAGAGAAAGTTATATTCATTTACTTATTGACTATGAAGCAACATTTAATCATAAAGGCAAAAATATATATTAATTTTTTTTTATGTTCATTATAATTTCTAACTTTTTTTGTCTGTGAGAGATATATAGAATTTGATCACATTAAAGGTGGTGAAAAATACAATATAAACGTGAATTAATAGCTCTTCACACAGATGTAGTATCCTCTTCGAAACCTCGGTTGTAATAAATTATTTAAAAAGCTCCCGCATTATATCTCCCGGGAAGAACGACCCCTTCCACTTGCAACAGGAACTGTCATAACTCAAGATCAGCATACAGCCATGTGCTATACAGTTTCTTGTTATGCATAAATACGTCAATTCCCGAAATATACCACACCCCCACGACATCGCTCAACTTTTTAATTGTCCTGATACACACAGCAGATCTTTGACTCCATCCGATTGAAGTAGCTACGTTTTTCCGACTTCACGCAGGTTGCCTTCAATTAAAATCCCACTCACCCTAACCCATTTTTATTCCCTTCTCACACATCCTAACCAATGTATATGTTCTTATGATTCCTTTCAATAAATATCCGCGGGTTACAACAACAACAATATCTATATACATTGTGACCGAAAAGTTTCCTTTGCGTTTTAAATAAAACGCAAAATTCTTAATCTTCATCAATATTTATTTTATCTCCTTCAAAATATGCTCCATTAGAAGCGATACACAAATGCCAACGTTTCTTCCAATCATCAAAACATTTTTTATAGGCGCTTTCCGGTATGGCTTTGAGTTCCCTCTGCGAATTCTGTTTTACGTCTTCTATGGATTCAAAACGCGTTCCTCTGAGTGGTAATTTGAGGTTGGGAAACAGGAAAAAGTCACACGGTGCAAGATCAGGTGAATACGGTGGCTGTTCGATGGTATTTATTGAATGTTTGGCCTTAAAATCGTTGATAATGTTGAACAAATTGAGGTGAATCGGAACAAGCCGGGCGTTGACACGTCGCATACACAAATTGTCCACCAAAATCAAACGAGCCATCTCACGACCGATGCCTAGCTCTCGTGCTATCTCTCTAACACTCACATGAGGATTTTTGAACACGATTTCCTTTGCCTTTTCAATGTTTTCGTCGGTGGTAGAGGTCGAAGGTCGTCCAGAACGCGGCATGTCTTCGACGGTCGTACGACAGTCCTGAAAGGCTTTGTACCACTCATAAACTTGAGTTTTCGATAAAACTGATTCCCCATAAGCCTTTTGTAGCATTCGCAACGATTCTGCACACGAAATTTCGTTCGAAAAACAAAATTTGATGCAAACTCTTTGTTCAATATTTTTTTCCATTGTTTTTTTCGCAACGCACTACTGAGGTGAACTGGTTTCAACAGCTGCCGTAAACGAACTGTCTGACAGATCGCGCTCATTTTTGGCATAGTAATTAAGGAAAGTGCTGCCAAACTACATAAACTTAAAATATCGAAAAATATACAGCGCGCGAATTTTAAATGAGAATTTCCGAAAACTTTTCGGTCACAATGTATTGTTTTCAATCTTAGTTTATCTTTTCATCTGATTAATTAATTTAGTTTAAATTTAATTTATTTCTTCTTGTATGCTTCTTAACTTAAGTTCCATTAATGAAATAGACGACTGCCAAAGATTATATGCTTCCCCGATAAAAAAATTGTGCTTAAAAACTTACTACTTTCAAATTATGCATTGTTCACACTGACCTGATTTAGGGAAAATTGATTTAAATTACAGAAAGCTTTTGCATAAACGTTGGCGTCTCGCCATTTTTGTTCTTTATTGAAATAACGCTCACGATTCCTAAAATGCATATCAACCTTACAACTAGCGTTAATAATGAGTATCACCCAATGTAAATACTCTTTAATGACGCTGCTCTTTGTCATAATAAATCAATTATATAACAGTGTAAATAAAGTACACTGTACAATATTAGGCTTTTGCTCTACAAAAAAAAAATATACAGATAATATATCTATAGTATCTTATCTTATTGTATCTTATGCATGTGTTAATCTAATTCACTATTTGTGATTGCTTGCAGCACGAAAATTCATTTATACGTATGTATTGTGTTTGCTTCTCCTATACACAGTTATAGTCAGCTGTAAAATTTAATATCCAATTAAAATTTAAGGCTCATATAACCTTTGGTAAGACATCACCGTTAATTTTTGCAATTACATTTCGAGCTGAGAATCGAAATATGTGCCACATAACTCTAAAATTACTATATACACACGGACGACTTAAAAACGAAGAGGTGTACGGAAGCGGATATCTAATAGAAGAACATGCAAGTAAGGAAGTTATTCCATTATTCTTATTCCTTCAACGTTTATTAATTCAAATTATATGCGGATAAAAAACAAGCCAATCTAGTACACGGTAATATGATTCGATCTTCAATTATATGCATTATGGTAGCACTTTTAATATATATAATGCGGACTTTTCTACAATACTACTTTATAATATAATTTTCTTATTCTAATGGTTCTCTTAAATTACTGATTGAAGAGTTATCAGCAAAAATGCTGTATAAATGCTAACTTAAGATAGCTCAGAACTTAAGACCGCTACATTGTTAAGTTTTAGAATTTATGTTCCTTTAGTTGTAAATTAAATTAAGTTATGTATTTGCAAACTGTTCACAGTGTACATTGAAATTTTACAATATTTGTAGTGTATCAATGTTTTCTTTGTATAAATAATATCCATTAAAATAAGTGATAAGAAATTGCAAATAAACAATAAAACTATAGCATATTTTATATTTGTGTTTGTTGATAAAAATAGAGAAGTATTAAGCCAATGCCGTTCTCAAATCATTTAATATTCAATAACTTAATCGTTCCATTAAAGATTAAAGATTACCCACCTAGAACCTTTGGCGAAGCATAAAATGCAATTAAGTGTCAGGTTCTATAATTGGTCAAGGTCCTAAAGAAAGGTGGCTCCTAGAGTATTAAGTCGCCGCCGTGCATGAGCTGAGCAAAAACATAGTAGATGAGAGACACTCTCATGATCTTCCCCACAGCTGCGATAGATTTGACTGAAAGGGAGACCTAATCTTTAAGCATGGTTCCCTAGTTTACAGTGATCTGTAAGTACACCTACCAAAAGACCGATATCTCTACGGGGTATCTCAAAGAGAATTTTGGATTTCCTTTTAAAGGACCGTGGCTAGATTGCATACATTAATAATTGACAATAATTGATACAACTTGCAACTTATACGGAAAAACTATAAAAGCATGCAATGAATAATGCCTCAACAAAGGAATAGTACTGAAATCTAACAGTTAAAACAACTATAATTAATTAATTTAATTATTCATTCTAATATAATATAGTAAGTGAAGTTGTTTATGGACTTTCACAACAAATTAACAAAACTTCAAGTTAGAACATACAACTCAAGTACGACTTCGGGTTAGTTGGCATATTAACACTGACTCTGAACTTCAAATTCAAATTTAAATTTAAAATAATAATAATTAGATATTATTAAGTAACGCATAATTAAAGTTTTTTCAAAAACAACACTAATGATGAGTATTTGGCAATACTCGAAACAGCTGGTCAGTAGAAATTTCAATTAATTAAAAATAATAAAATTTTGTTGTTGCAATTCACTACTATTCGGAAGAACCTCTCTATTAATACTAAAGAAAATAGTTTATTTCGTCATAACTGACTTTAAAAACCAAATTTCATTTTTCATAGAAACACTGAATCACTTTATAAAAATATATATAAAAAATCTGATATTGATACTTACAATAAACACCACCACCTTCAATTGCACCATTCGTTGAGATCGCACATACAGAGGCAACAGTAAACAGTAGGATTAAATACGCTATTACAAATTGAAGTAAAGTTACATAGAGTCCAGCGTTACCCACAATAAAACCTATAAAATTAAAAAATTTTTTATATTAATCAATTTATTAATTAATATAACATTAAATTTTACGATAAATACTTCATATTTAAAAGTGTGCTTTTATAAACAAATGTAATAATTAATATTAGAGATGACGTCATTTTGCGTGGCTTCCAAAATTTGTTTTAAATCCCGCGATTTAAAAGTCAAATAGATAAAATTGATAAGAAATTGTTAGATATTTATACAAATACTTTAATAGTGTATTATTTAAAGGAAGAATTACTTTTCGAATTTTTAATCAGTAATAAATTATATTTAAATACATTCGAAAGTTTACTAATTATATATTTTGTACAAAAAAAATTTTTTTTAACATTCCAATAAATATATTAGGTCATCTATATATATTTTTTTTTGAGACACAAACTATATATATAAACCTGAGTTAGCTTTTTTTAAATTGAAACACTAAACTGTTGAGTATTTTATTTAATAAAATTTGGATTTGATTATAAAATAATTATATAAATCGTTATAAACTTCTTGACTAAATGATATATAATTATATATATAATATAATTATATATAATATTTAATTATGTATAATACATAATTTTTTATAATATAAATAATATAATTTAATTATATTATATATAATATTAGATTTGGACAATTTTAAGTTATCTCACAGATTAAATTATGATATACATATATAAACATTAAACATTTTGGAAAGTAAGAACTAACATGTCATTTAGCATAAAAAATATATAACGAGAAAAAGTAAAGAATCCTAGCAGCGGTTGGATCTACATCCTGAAGCCAAACGACAATTACAACGACCTAGTGACGCTCACCACCCCCAACTCCCCTCAACCGTCTTTTATCAACTGCTCGTTCTCTAATTCTTTACCCCTAGCCAATACATAACCTACCCTATGTATTCGTATGTTGTAATTCGTTTCATATTTACTACAATATAGATCTCATCGGGCTACAACAACAACAACAACAACAGTAAAACTAATTATAATGTAATAATAATCATATAATTTTAAATACATTTGGATAGAGAACTTAAACCTAGTAGATATTTAAATTATAGTACTTTTCGTTGAAACTGATTTAAAAGGAACCGAAAAACATCGTTTATTTGTAATGCACACATTCTGTATTTATTGTTGTAGTTAGTATCTGTAGTATTAGTATTAGTATCTGTAGTTACCTAACAGATACTAAAAATCAACCACAAAGAGCTCCAAGAAGTACAGCGTTTACGTCACAGAAACACTCGCTTATATAAACGACCAATCAAGGCTTGTCAGATCCAACAGAAATATATATATTATATACTTTTTCATTTTGTAGTTCAGTTTAGCTGAATATTCGTTCTTTACGATTTTATATATCTCAACAATTTATGCAAAAGCACAATTTCTAAATACAAAAAACATAATGATTATTTAAAGAGAATTTAAGGGCCCCAAAATATTGACAACATATTAAATTATTAATATCGAAAGTTTTCTCCGAGTAATTCAAGATGCAATATTATTTTTGTATATATTAATTATAAATATTTCACTTTTCACAATAAGTTTGGAGCTATTCCACCTATTGCTGACCATTGCATTTGGTATTATCTTTGACATGGAATATATGAACTTCTTTACTGTTATTACATTTAGATATTTATTCAAATCTAATTTCAAGCTGAGGAAGATTATATTACAATTATAATTTGAGTTATCAAATTACATTTCTATAATTTAACAAATCCTATCAATTACATTTCCTAGGATACTGTTTCTATAAAGTGAATATGCAGGAAAAATATTCAAATCTGTTTTTGAAGGTAAATAATATTCAAATTTCTTTTTAAATCTGTTTAAAAAAATAGTATATGTTATAAACCGATTTCCGTGAAGTGTATGGATAGTGTTTCTATACACAATATAAAAGAAAAATTATATTCTAATCTGTTTTTAAAGAAAAAGAAAATTATATATATTATTAACTAATTTCGCAAAATAGAATTATATCAGAAAAAATATATTTTATTTTTATAACAAAAAAATGTAGATACATTTAAATAGATTTTTTACGAATTGTAAAGACTCTATTTCTATATACATACTATAGAAGAAATATAATATTCAAATCTGTTTTTGAAGGTAAATAATATTTAAATCTGCTTTTAAAGAGTAAAAAAACAATGTATGTTATAGACCGATTACTTCGAATTTTATTGTTACTATTTCTATATACACAATGTGAAAGAAAAATTATATTCAAATCTGTTTTTAAAAGAAAATAATTTTGTATGGATATTATTTCTAAATTAAAAAAAAATATATATATAATATATAATCAACTGATTTCGTGAATTAAATGGATACTATTTATCGTATACATAATACAGAAGAAAGATAATATTCAAAACAGTTTCTGTAGGAAAATAATATTAAGATTTGCTTTTAATGCAAAAAGAAAATAAATAAATATGTTATAACCCGATTTCTTCGAATTGTATAGTTAGTATTTCTATATACACAATATGATATAATTATTATATTCAAATCTGTTTTTAAAGCAAAAACAAAAAACTTTATACTTTATATGAAACTTTATATAAAAATTAAAAAAATATTGAAATCTGTTTTTAAAACAAAAAAAAAGTATGCATGTTAAACAAAAATTGTAAATGCTTTTGAATATTATTTATTTCGAGTATATTAAGAATCAATAAGAAGCTGAATTAACTGGTTTAAACTAGTAAAACATATACAAAAAAAAATTATCACAAAAAATTAATATCAAATATTTTAATAAAGTAATTTTTATACATACCAACTCGAATGAAGACCAAAGCGCTGAACATAGATAGAGCAACAGGACTAAAAACGCCGGCAAAAGTACCTAAAGTGCGTCCATTGTTCTCCGGTTCTTGCATTCCAAATTCAACATATCTGTCTGCAGATTGAAATGAATTATTTCGCCGCATAATTCCACCATTACCGTTCGAACCAAAAAATGATCCAAACGTTCTAAGCATCGACGAAGAATTGCCGCTTCCTTGTGCAATTGGAGCAGATTCGTCACCATTAGTGCGTCCGTCTATAGACTGTGAGATCATTGTTTAAGCAAAAGAGTAAACGAAAAAATCGTTTGATATCTCTTCGAATTAAAGTTAAAATTTTTTTAATTATACCAACGGATCCGTTGGTGTTCTTTTTTTGTAAACGCCCACAAATGCGTAAAATAATTTAAACTAAAGTCGATGCTATATAGTCACAATCACTAGTAACCAATCCCTCTTAAAAGAGTTTATTGAGAGAAAGCTTTAACAAAATAATTTTATGTTCGACTCTTGTTACACACCGTATAGTCAGTTTTAGTATGTACACATTCTAAAATATCCGCATTGGAAATTGCCTTTATTTTCAATTAATTGGATTGAATTTATATCTTTTATCCAATAAATATCATGATATAATGTAGCTAATGTTTTACACACTTCACGAACTATATTTAACTGATTACTTTCGAGTTAAAACAGAAACCAAACAACACAAAACAAAGCAGCTGACAACATATTATTGGACGTGAATCATATGTTTGAATGTTTTTCAACTACTTTTGCATTTCATCACACACACAAAACAAAATACAAATCCATACTTCATACTTCAAGTATGCGCACATCTCGCAGTACTAGATATAACACTTTCACAATAAAATAATCATTTTCATTTGGGTCGCATATGAACTAATGACGTTTTCGATGTTTACATCTGGGGTAAAAAGCTAACGGCAAAATTTACGGTGAATAAAATTTGATAAAATTATGAACTTTTTGATAGAATAATTGACTATTCATAGTTAACGAATAGCAAAATCAAAATATAGTCAAATGTTTGTGTACACTTCAGTTTGCACAGTTGAGGAATTGCTCCCCTGTATAACACTTGAGATTAATTTATAACACTCTAGATATTAACAGCTGTATATATACTAACAGCTTAACAAATTAACAGCTCTTTTATATGATTTGACAGACAAAAAGTGTAACTTGTTTCCACATGTGCCCAATTTGTTACTTTATATATTTAGCTGTCGTTTTGAAAAATGGTACAAAATCAAAATAAAAGCACATTTGGCTGCAAATAAAGATGAAGATACATTTTTCAACTTGTTACCATTTACAAAAACGAAAAGAAGTAGAGTTTAAGATTTCATGGTAAATGTTGTGTACAACTACACAGGAGAAGAATTTTGTGTAATCATTGTTAAATTTTGTTTCTAATTTCAGCTGTCAAAAATTTAAATTTTGCATTAAAAGCAACAACAATTTACAGCAAAAATTGAAAACATGGCAGCTAAAATTACAAATAAAACTCTCGGCGAAACGTAATGCTGAGCAATTTAACCGCGGAAGAGCGCGCCTGGGAGTCGCAGACTCTCATTCGCGATTCGCTTACAAGCGTAATAAATTAATCTTCTACATACATCGCTTATACATCGCTTAGAAGCGTAACAAATTACTCCTCCATATACATCGCTTAGAATCGTAAAAACTTATTCTTTCGTATACACAGCAGAAAAGTATAAAAATTTATTCTTTCATATACATCGCGTATGCATCGCAGAGAAGCGTAAAAACTTACTCTTCTGTATGTACCACGGAGTAGCGTTACTGAAGAGATAGAAAAGAAACAGTGAAAATAAAATTTAAAAGAAGTTGAGCTAAAAATTGTTGGTTTATTAAAATTACTGAAAATAATATTACTAAACTTTAATATATATTTGTAGTTAATTATATGTACAAAAAAAATAATATAATAAAATAAAATAATAAAAAATATATATTAAAAGTAGTTCAATACTTCTTATTGCTAACTTAATGATATTCACATATTTTAAAATACTAGATATTAAATATTTAAATTTATTAGCTTTAAATAATAAGAAATCAATATTACTTATCTATGTATATATTTATTAAAATTATTTTATTAAAATTATCTTATTAAAATTTATTAATTTAAATTTCACAACTGATCAATTTTAACACGCCAATTTCACTTTAATATTAACAAAAGCGACATATGTAAATATTATATTACAGAAAAAAAAAAGAAGAGCAAATTAATATTTTTGAGAGAACAATTGCTTAACAATCGTCAAGGTTAGCAATAAGCGAGCATTTTGACGATTAGCGATAAATGTATCGTCTAAATGCTGGTTGGTTCCCTTCATGTAAAGCAAAGAGTACTTTTCTTTGTATGCTTTGTTCTAAAGTATTTTTTGACGTTTACTTTCGCGCCAATAAAGTAGTGTGAGTGCCATCAACAGACGCTGTTAAAGCTGCTGTGGGTCTGTCTTGATTTATGAACTTTTTATTGGAAAATTGTTTAATTTAATATAATGAGTAACATAAAAGTGCTTTATGAATGGAAAAAAAGAGTGAAAAATGAATATACAAAAATTCGATTTAAAATGCGTGCCAAAAGGGCAAAGCAAATCGGTCACTGTTGGCATGCAAATTGGTAAGTTTTACAATGCCGTTATATTTTTATAGAATTTCAGAGTTTTATAGTTTGTTTATAATGTTAATAATTTTAAAGATAATTATATCTTAACTTCACGGAACACTTAGGTTTAGCTTAAGTTATCAGAATATATTCTTATATGTAAATTAGTGTGTAATAAGGTGTGTGCACATACCAGAAGGAAAGATTCTAGAAAACTTAAGTTACTGGAAATTTGGTTAAACAAACTACTTAACGATTGGGAGAGACTACTGTATCTGTATTCATATATTTGTGTTACTATTATTTTTGTTTTGCATAACACTAGTCCTTAACATTATTATTTTTAAAGGGCCAGAAATGAGGAAGACATAGCAGAGATAGGCTCTTGGTTACCCATTTCTAATTATGCACCACCACACATCGACTGTGTCAAACGAGCTGAAGTAACTCAATATAAAGATGGGGAAACTACTCGACAAAATGCTCCTATCAGCATTTTATATGCAGTTACTCCGATTCCCACCATGTATACTTGGGCGCCAACTCAGGTTAATTTTATGGTGGAAGACGAAACTGTGCTCCATAATATACCATATATGGGAGATGAAGTATTAGATAAAGATGGTAAATTTATTGAAGAACTCATCAAAAACTATGATGGCAAGGTTCATGGGGATAAGGATGCAAATATTATGGATACACATATTTTCATCGAATTGGTACATGCGTTGACTAGAAAATATACAAAGGAAATGAATGCAACCTCAAGCACAATGGTCACTGACAACATCGAAGAAACTGCTAATGAAAATGAACGAACTGATAAAAATGAAAAAGCTGATACAGAAAATGCAGATGCTAAAGATGTTACCGAGAATGAAAAGAAAAACTCAGAAGATAAGAATTATTATGAAGATGATTCCGATTTAGATGAGGGCACAACGGATAAGGAGAAATTACCATTTCCAGCTCCTATAATATTTCAAGCCATCAGTGCATTGTTTCCAGATAGAGGTACTGCTATAGAACTAAAGGAGAAGTAAGAAAATCGAAATCTAATTAATAATAATAAATTAATTAAATTCAAATACTTATTACTTATTTTATTTTAAAGATACATCGAGGCAACTGAGCATCAGGATCCCGAAAGACCGCAAGAATGTACTCCAAATATAGATGGCGAAAAGGCTGAAAGTGTTAGCCGAGAACGTACGATGCACTCCTTCCATACCCTTTTCTGTCGTAGATGCTTCAAATATGACTGCTTTCTGCATCGTAAGTATTGTTCTAATTTTATATATATATTGTGAAAAGTGATTTTTAAATATTTACAAATATTTAATTATTTTATTTTTATTCCCTTTTACTTTTTTTAAAAAATTAAAAACGTAACAAATAAAAACGTATATTGTACATTATTGTTAAAACGTTAAAATATTTGAAACTACAATTTAGGCCACCAAACAAACGGTGAGTTTGTAGTTGTTTAATGAATGTCAAATATTCGAAATATGTTGAAATTAATATTCATCATTAATCATTTAACATTACATATTATGCAAAATCTCATCATCCGACTCCTAATTTCATTTGAAAAGAAGATAAACGATAAACAAAAAAGGTGTGAAATAAAAAATTTACGGTATCCATTAACCTCAGGGCAAGTTCCAATTTTGAGGATTATATTTTGTATTATAAAAATCTGCATTTTTTTTTAAATTCGCAAAAATAGTTAATCAATAGTTAATCTATAGAAAAATTTGAGGAAAGGATGAAAGACATTTATTTTGAAAAAACATTAGGGGTATTCATTCCCTCTTGTAAACTCATTGCAAGGTGCACGCAATGCACAGATTGCGCGAGCTTGCCATTAACAACAAATTACACGCAGAAAGTTTCTTGCAATTGCTTGCAATCTTCCTATGCCTAAACCCTTGCATATATGCTTTGGGAACAAAACAACAATAGAAAAAAACAGCTGTTTTGACATCAGTTGCTTCTCATTCTTAAATATGAATTTGTTAGCGAAAGGTGTTTAAAATTTTCTAAATATTGTCAGATAAAAATTAATTATATATTAACACCCCTGATTAGGGTAGGGGGGTTCTGAGAACTCGACAAATTTGTCAAGTACATATTGACAATTAGTCAAGATTTTTATCAAGCAAAAAGCTTTTTGCTTTTGGCAGCATTCTTACATACAGTTTTATTTTTCTTTGCTCAATGTGATACGGTTGAAAAAATAGCTGCTTCATTTTGATGAAGCAATTCTGCATTCCGCAACAGATGTGTTCTGGCATCCTTGCAATTTTGTATAGCATTCTTGAATTTCGTGCACCTTGCAATGAGTTTACAAGAGAGAGTGAATGCCCCTATTTTCGTTGTGAATGCATGTCAATGTTTAAATTAAAATATAAATGTTTATATGTGTATTAAATTTAATTATAATAATAATGAAGTAAGAAATTTTTATATTACACACAATGAAAAAGTCACTACGTTTACTAATAAGCAAACATATATAAAGAATATTTAATATAAATAACAATTATCTTACCACTTGCAAAGTTATTTGCCCTCTTCAACATCATTATTCATTGAAAAGTATTTAACAAAAATAAGTGTTAATTAAAAGTGCTAAACTGTATCATAATAATGAAAAGCTAATTTTATTAATATATTTGCCTTGCCATAGGTTTACAAAGTCATGCTGGACCCAATTTGTTTAAACGTCGTTTTCCCGAACTTAAACCTTTTACAGAACCTTGCGGCAAGGATTGTTATATGCTATTGGTAAGCCAATTTTAAAAAATACTCTTCATATCAATTAAGAAGAAACTAAATTTTTGTCGCATAGGATGGCATGAAAGAAAAGTTGGCAGCGGATAGTAAAACACCACCGATTGATTCATGCAATGATGCAAGCTCAGAAGACAGCAATGACAGCAATAGCCAATTTAGCAATAAGGAATTTAATACAGAAAACGGAAAAGATAATGGAGTAGCTGTTAATAGTGCTGTATCAGCAGAAATAAACTCAATAATGGGTAAGCAATGTTATGGATCTGACATAATTTTGATTTCGTATA